CCACTTTCATGGACTCAAATCATGTCTATTCACATCTTTTAGGGACATTTTCGCATATATCTCAACTTATGGGGTTATTTTGCAAATTATCCCATACATGAATTGGGGTTCAAACTGAAGATGGAGAGAAGTAATCCCTACGATACCGATATCATCGGCGATATGCCCTGAAATCATTCCGCAATTCACACTTTCATTTCATAACCCAGTTTCCAGCTGGTGCAGCTCCCCGCGGTGCTAACAGATCGGAGCCGTCTACACAGGATGCCTATTATTGGGGGATGCTCTTATCGCTTCCAATAACAGATCTCCAGCATAGGATACCCCCCCCCAAAAAAAAACACAAGGTAAGTCCTGCTTATTGTGACTGAGTGAGAGTATGCTCGCACAAAGACTCTTTTACTTGTTTCCGGATGTAATTGCGACCAGATACATCCAGGTCTGGCCATAAACGTGGTCGGATACATTTTAGATAGTCCTAGTGTGAGCATGCCCTGAATTCTACAATCACCGCTCATCAGCAGAAGTTAAATCCACAATTGCCCCTGTCAGAACCAGGTCCGAGTTCTGAACCAGGTCAGAGTTCACCTGCACCTCTGGACTCCCAGTTGGAGGTGAACTCTGGTCTGTTTCTCCCATAGGTCTGCATGCATAGAGACTAGGAGGGCGGCCACATTCATGGAATCAAGCTCCTAACCTCTGACTGCTCAGGTTACCCCCGTCGACATAATAGGAGGGTGGTACTCCTGGGTGGCAGACACTGAGGTAGGACTGTGGGAGTAGGGGTGCGCCAGGGAGAAATAATGAGAGGGGAAGGTTGGGAGGGAGTCCCATAAGGATTAGAGGCACCCTACAGACCATCTGGATAGCGGATGGCCGACTACTGAAGGGGACTGTCATATGTCTATTACTGAAGGGGACAGTCATATGTCTATAGCATCCAGTCTCTACGACAACCTGGACTCCAAAAAAAAAAAAAAAAAAAACGATGGGCCGATGGCAAAAAAAGAAGAAGAGATAGAGAAGAGAACAGTTCCCATGAAAAAAAAAAACAAAAAAAAACGATGGGCTGATGGCAAAAAAAAAGAAAGAGAGAGGAGAACAGCTCCCATTTTGACAGGCCATACTCGTACCTAACGCTTCTAAACTACGGTCAGAAGGTCAGATCCTCAGCAATGCGGGAGACAACACGGAAGGTAGATGGTCCTGGCTAGACGTCAGATGGCAAGACGAGGAACTGAGAATTCTTAACATCTACGCCCCCAACTCAGAAAATGAACGCCTAGCCTTCTTCCGCAGCATCCAGTCCCTCATCCCAAATCCTCAACCGGTGATCATCGCAGGCGACTGGAACACGACCTTGGATCTAAACCTAGACCGCATCTCTCGCTCTCAACTGATAGGCCCAACAAGAGCAGGAACCCACATAAGAAACATCATGACAGAATTAGACCTCATCGACCCCTTCAGAACGCTGCACCCAGAGAAAAAGGCCTTCTCACTGGTAAAAAACAAAACAGCCCAACCGAACGTCGCTGTCCCGGATCGACTTCTTCTTAATCTCCAAGCACCTCCAAGGAACAATCAAACAGGCTGAGATCCGCCCACCAGCGGCCTTCCCGGGCCTTGACCACAAGCCGGTAGAGCTGCTCCTGAACTCTGACTCCCCCACGGAAAAAAGGCCAGAGTTCCCCCACGGAAAAAAGGCTGGGGCTTCTACAGAATTAACAACTCCCTCTTAACCACCGAAAGACTAACAGAGGCTTGTCAGATGGAACTGGTTCTTCTTGAGACAGAACAGTGCCAGACTGGACAATAGACGTCAATGGTTCACAGACAGCTACACAGACCTCGCCCAAACAGTCTCAGTGGAATCCAGAAGCATTGCAGGAGAACGGAAAATCAGAAAAGAAGAACTCCAACTCGCCATATCTCTCGCGGAGGACAACCTTGTCGCAGATCCCTCAAACACTTTCTACAGCCAACTACTTGATTCAGTAAGAGGAGAACTCAACGATCGGAGGAGATGGGAACTGAAAGGATGACCCACCACACCATTAACGAATGCATGACGAAGCACTTCTTCGCAAAAATCAAAGCTAACGCCAGAAATAACAACATTGAAGGGTTGACGGACCCGGACAATCAGAACAGAGTCAACCAATCAGGTTCGGGAATGGTGAAAATAGTCGGGCCGTTCTACGCACAGCTCTACGAATCCAAAACACCTTCCCCCCTCCCCTCATCCAACTCAACAGCACGGCAGCGAATGATGGCCTACCTGGAGAAGACAATCACACCAGAACAGACCGAGGGGCTGGACAGACCACTCTCGTTGGGGGAACTATACACAGACCTGACTCAGATGGGTAACGATAAACCCCCCGGGCATTGATGGACTATCGAAAGAATTCTCGGTCCATTTCTGGCCCAGACTAGGTGAGGACCTTCTCAATTCTTTCAATGACAGCAGAGACCGAGGAGGACTAGGCCAAAATCTGAGTACAAGTGTACTATCGTTACTCCACAAAAAAGGCGAGAAAGAGGATTTGAAAAACTGTAGACCCATCTCGCTACTCACAACCCCCGACAAAATCCTCCATAGACCGCCTCACGGAACGGAACTTCAACCCACTTCACGACTTCGCTCTACCCACCGCTCTGATGTTCGCAGACGATCTCACAATTCTTGTCCGTGCCAACAACAGCTCCTTCCAAGTTCTCGCAAGAGCTATGGAGGCTTTCCGTCTTGCATCCGAAATGAAGGCCAACTGGAGCAAGACCGAAGGATGGTGGCTTGCAGACGAGATGCCCCCCCAACCCGAGGGCACAGCCACACCCATGTCGTGGTCCACAGGCGAACAGGCACTCAGATACCTAGGTATCATGGTCAACAAAGATGGCGTGTGGCCGGGAATGGGCCACAACTTAATTGCTAAAGCAATAACTTGTTTGGCCCCATGCATGAACACACAGGCATCGCTGATCGGGAGGGCACTAATTATAAACACAACTGTCTTCTCCACACCATGGTACATCGCATCCATCTGGTCTCCCCCGGACGTCGACTTCCAAACCATAAAGGCTAGAGTAAGGTGCTATCTATGGACAGGGGACCAAAACCGAACCTCATGCATCAACAGGGTAGCATGGAGCTCAACATAAGGAAACCGCAGGAGGGAGGCCTAGGGCTAATCGACCCCAAGCAGGAATCAACAGCAGTACAGATGAAATGCATCATCAAGATCCTGACCAGACAATACCTACCATGGACCAAGATGGCTCTAGACACCATAAGAAACCTAGCACCGATAAGCTCCCCACCAAATATGAGCGGCTACTTCTGGATTATGGCAAAGGAGTGGACGATAAGATCAGGCAGATCCCGCAGAAGGACCACACGAAACTCAGACAACCAGGCAGCCCCAACACCCAACCCATATTGGACCCCGACACTGAAAGCCTGGCGACGTATGATGCCAAGCAAACAGGGCACAGCAGATAACAAAGAAGAGGCCCTGAGACAACTGCTGTTTTGCAACGATTGGATCAAGGGCCCCGAGGGTAGTCCCTGGTCACTAAGAACGAAGGACCGAAGATCGTTGTCATGGGTTGAAAAAGGGGTGTGGCAGGTAAAGCACCTGTGTGCAGAAGAACGGGGGGGATGGCGAATGGAACAAGAACTCTGGAACACCCTAAAAGGCTGTCACGCTCTCGCAGACAACCTAAGTATAATCCAGAAGAGCATCTCACCCCATTGGCTCCACCTCTTGAAAGAAGACTTCTCCTGGAAACCAGGGGACTGGTGTATACTCGTATCCAAACTTCACCGAACAGAGCATATCGGTTCGTATCCCGCACCTCAGCCACCGGCTACCTTTCCAAATTCTACTCCTATCCCATCGCCAATCACAACCTCCAAGAACTAGCCATCCTCAACAGAGAACCTCAGCTAGAAGCGATAGAGTACTTCCGGCTGCGCAAAGTGAGGGTAACAAAAACCAAACCATGGATAATCTTCCAGCCTGGCCTCAGCATAGCAGAGCTCGAATTCGATCCTAAGGAATGGATATGGAAACAAAGCAAAATCGGAAAAACTAGAACGATACTGGAATACAACTTAACATTCGGGTACAGCCTAGACCTACTGACCACGGACCCCAAAACCAAACTTGGAGACATATGGAGAGAGTCACTGATCCTAGAGCCAACAGCCTCAATATCCATCCCCTGGACAAAATATCTCCCCATCAGACCAGTTAGAATCCGTAGCTTACAGTGGCTCCTAGCCCATGCAGCACTCCCTGTCAACCAGTGGCTCCACAAAAGAAGAAACCACTCGGACCCGACAGCTCAGAACTATGCGTAATGTGCGGTGACAATGTCCCTGAAGACATCCCCCACTGCCTCCTCTACTGCAGCCACGCTGCCTGGATATGGAACAAAGTCCGAAATCGATGGTCCCACCTCTTCTCATCCCCTCCCCCCAACCTCACCCCTCTGAACATCCTACTTCTATCTAACATCCCCAACAGCCTCAGAGATGGTAAAGCGGTCTGGTTCCACATGATCAGGAAACTAGCCCTGTGGGTCATATGGAAAAGGAGATACACCAAGACAATCGAGGGTTCAGAAGTGGCCAAGGAGGAAATGTGGATACTACTGCGGAGGATGGTGCAAACAGGGGCCCCCACTTTCAGGCCCTGGGTAACGGATCCAAAACTGAAATTAGGGTTCGGAGGTCAAATTTTATGCTTTTTGAATTTTTTTTCTTTTGGCCTGTTCTTGTTTTCGTTCAAGGTTGCTGTGTGCCAAATTTGATGTCATTTGGAGCATTGAATTTTCCTCTGTTAATATTTCTGAAATTTCTCCAGATTTCTGAAATTTGAATGTTGGCGAAATTTCATGAAAGTGCACTTTTGCCTTGCTGTTTCATATGTTTTTTAATTTTTTCTTTCAGTTTTTCTTTTGCAGTTAGTTAGTATGGTCTCCAATCTATGAATTGGTTGCAAGTTTGATTAAAATGACCCTTCGGTTTTCTTATAAATGACATGGCAAGTGGTCTGAAAATTATGGTCTCCGTTAACCTTCTCTCATTAAGCATCACCGACTTCCCGACAACTGATACCCTGAGGTGGGCACCAACCACTGCCCTCAAGGTACCTGATATATATATACTCTGTTTGACGATGAGGCACAAAATTCACAAACTTGACACACAAACTGGAAGCAAGATCTGAGTAAACTGGAAGAGGACGTTTCAAGATGATCCCGCATTTCAAGAATTTTGAAGATGAAAATTGCAATATAATGACTTGTGTAGGATACAGAATATTATATTATATTGGCAAAAAAATACATCTTTTCTCTTTCCCCTCCTCCTCCCCTCCTCTTCCTTTCTCCTTCTTCCCTCCTTTCTTCCTTCTCCCAAGCCAAGTGTAACTCACTCTTTTTTTTTCCCCCTAACTCACTCTCATCGCTAACTCACTCTGATTGGAGCACAGACGAAGCTGTAGCAAACTGTTTAGTGACCTCCTCTACTTGCTCAGGGCTTCTGCACGCCGACAGCAGCACCCGTGACGTTGCGCGATCAGGTGTGCACCCAGCAGCAACCATTTTCTTGAACAATTGCAAGCACTTCCGGAGAAGTTTCTTCTTCGCATATCCGCCAATCAGCGCCGTCCACGTCGTGGAATCCGGTGTCAATCCAACATCGCTGACCTCCGCAAACAGTTCCTCCGCTCGTTCTGTCAACCCCAGTTCACAGTTCACATGAATCAAGGTGTTATATGTTGAGACGTCAAGCCGCACATGCGGCTGTCCGGAGCCGATTTCAGCCCTCATCCTTGCCTCCAGAGATAGCATTTTGTCGTACTGCTGAGATGTTCCGTAGGCCGTCAAGAGGGAGTTATAGAGATAGGTATCAGGTTGAAGACCATGGCGCTGCAACTCTTTGAAAATCCTCTCGGTATCGTCGATCCGGCCCGCTTTCGCTAGCCCGGTCAGCAACACCGTGTACGAAGTTAGACCTGGTCTAAGACCCTCTGCCACCATTTTTTCAAGCACCGCCTCCGCATCTGGTCACGCAGACAGGAAAGATACAACAGCACCGCCAACAAATAACAAGAATCGCGGCTCAGCATCAGCTAAACCAGTAGCATGTGTCTCTTATTAACCTCCACCTCTACCTTCCCTTCCCTTTGGAAGATCTTCCCTTCCCCTCAAGCCATATCTTTTTGCCCTGGAGACTCACATGGGGCTCCCGCCTCCTCTCAACCATATTCTTTTTCTTTTGTCTTTTATTTCTTTTTTTTTTACAGGACCATGGTCCGATCTATTTGTAGGGAGCAACACATGCTGGGAACCGGGCCCAGTGTCCCTCATGGAACTCCCAACGACATGTTACGTACATGCGAAAAGCGAGAAACAGTCCAAATTTTAAGGGGAAAAAAAAAAAAAAGCAAAGACACAGAAACCTTCCCAGTCAACCATGGGCAGAGAAGGAAGAAAGGCCAAGAACGGGAGGGCTGTGCGAGGAAAGAGCCCCTCGCAAGGCCACCAGCCGAAAGCAGCCGAGGCTTAAGGGGCCCTAGAGCAAGTACGGAGCCCGCCCTAAGTAAAGGCGGGGCCTGCACTTCCCCCTGCAGAATATTTTTGGCCATTTCTGCACTTGGGGGTGCCAGACAGTTACTGGGCGCCAGTTGGTTACAGGGCCCCCGCATGCTCTGCGACTGGTACCTCGTGAGCCTTTCAGCCTCTCTTTCGGGCAGCGACGTGGAGACTTGCCTTTCGGCCAATCAGGACGCAGCGAGTGACGTGAGCGATGGCGCACAGTTCGGGCGTGCCTAACTGTTCTGGTCCCAGGCCACTATCCGAATCATGCCTGGGTGCAGACACTTTGGTCCGACGTCAAGCTACTGGGAACTCTGGGAACTCCGACGCCGGGCCCAGGCAGCCTACCAAGGGAAGCACTTTCCATATCGGAAAGTGCCTGCCGCCCACCCAGAAGCCAGACACTCTGTCAAGCAGCCACTGGGCGACAGCGCTGCCGCTTTGTGCGCTGGAGGTCGCCAGGTCGCTGTAAGCTGGGAACCGCACGCACCTGGGCGCTGGGAGGAGATGCTGCCTAGGAGCAGTACGCAGGTCAGCCATAGCCAGGCTGAACATGCTGTTACCTGTGTTGGGGGTGGTGGTCTTCGCTGTACGGGAGATGCACGCTGTGGGGGACAAGGAGTAGGAGAGTCGGGGAGAAGAGACACGTACCTGATGTGTATGCGGCAATCTGCATGGGCGACTTCTTCATGTACACTGGTCTTCGGGAGGAAGTGACCGCTCGCTGCGTCGTCATTAGTGGTAGGCTACCGTCTTCACCCAAATAGAACGCCCGGTCATTACTGCTGCATCTGGACTGAAAGTTGGGCCAAATGCAGCTATAATGACCGGGCATGTTCTATTCGGGTGAAGACGGTAGTATAGGTTCTGAGTGGAGGTAGGCTGCGCACTGAGCGCCAATCAAGAAGAGTGACGACGTTGGATACATTGTCGATGGTGACGAGGAGAGGTTGACATTGACATTTGAGTTCATTGCATTGCTCTTATTTGGCTTATATCTAAGTGCATTCGACTTTCTGCTTCGTACACGGCTATCTGGTCTTCAATGTGATGTTGCATTTTGGTTTTCTGTCTGTCGCTCTCGCTCATTTTCATTGCAGCTGTGACAGACTCTTTCATATAAGTCTTACCGACTCGTCAGGATGATGAACCCTCAGCTGCAGTCTGCAGAGTCCCCTAACCGATTACACTAGTGATAATCCATTTCGGATGGAGGGCTGCAACAGACTGTTTCACATGAGTTTCACCGAGTCATCAGGAGCCGGAGCCCTCAGTTGCACTCTGCAGAGTCGCCTAACCGATGACGCATGAAGTGATAATCCACCTTAATAACCCTATTGTGGCTGAGCACCCCCCTCTCAAGGGGGGCAAACTAATAACCCTATTGTGGCTGTTTCTGATGTGACTCCCCGCGAGAGGCGGCGGGGAGCAATCGATTCCCTGTCAGACCCTTTCATTTCAGAGGATTCTAATGCTAGCAGCACTTTCCAGAATGTATCTGACTGCAATTCCGGCCAGAGATGGGGCTGCGCACGAGAGAAAACGAGAAAACGACAGCCGCCTTTCGTTCCAGCTGCTGGCAGCAGGTCCAGCATAGAAGGGCGATACCGGCGCTAACTGGCGAGAACTTCCCCTACCGGTTGCTGCCGCCTCCAGGCTCAGCAAAAAACTCGGCATGCAGGAGGGGCCCTGCGGTTCCACAAAACAGGCCCCGGTGTACTGGTGGTTTAAGCCACCACAACATCCAAGGCTCTTTTTTGCCAAGGCGGAATCTGCTTTTCGCAGCAAGCTTTGCCGAAACGCCAGCGCAATTTTTTTTCTACTTCTTTTTGGCTGGCACCGTCCGGTAGCCCTGAGCCTCCAAAATTTTTCAACTAGCTCGATTGGGAAAAAAAAAAACCAAAAAGTTCTCAAGTTTGCCTGGCCGATGTACTGGCGGTTTAAAGTTTAAACTTTAAACCCCTCAACAGTTGCTATTCTTTTTTTTTTTTTTTTGAATTTAAAGGGCGACGGCCTTGAGATATCGTCATCGAGCTGACCGGCCCCAGGTAATTCAGAATTATTTCATTGCATTCATTTGGTTCTAATCATTCGGGGTTCGAACCTGGGTCGGTATTTCAACAGTACAGTTCATGGGTGTACCAACTGAGCTAGAGCTCGTTGGTACAGTCGCTATTCTTATATCTATAGCGATCTAAGGATCCGAGTCCATTGTTCCTCGTGCGGACACACTTCCTCATCACAAGCAGGCTTTGGAAAAAAAACCATCAGAAGAAAACAGCCATTCAGATATTTGCGCTCATCCTTCACTGTGGGAGTCTGCATCAAGGCGGCCGAGAAAAATGACTCTCCCCCCCTTCCCAAACCCCCGCACTGCCCCCTTGCCCCCTAGCCCCCCGCACTTCCCAAAATCAAACCACACACCAATGCAACCACCCACCCGCACCATGAGGCGATTTTGAACAGCATCACCATCAGAGAAGAAACGCCTTTTCCCCAAACTTGTTAGGTTTATTAAAAGAAATTATAAAGAAAAGTTTAAAACGACAATGTGGGGCAAAGAGGGAGAGAAAAGCAATGGATAACCTTGTGCGATGCGAACCTACCTTCACAAAGTCCTTGTCGACCGTACGCATCGATCAAAATATTGTAGGTTGCTTCGTCGGGTTGAAGACCTCTTGCTTGCATCTCTGTGAAAACCCCCTCGGCTGCAGCAGGTCTTCCGCCCTTGCAATACGCGTCCATCAGCGCATTCAAGCAGTAAACATCGGGTGTAAGGTTCACGCCATCTCTGGTCATCTCATCGTATGCTGCTTCTGCCTTTTCAATTAATCCGTTCCGTCCAAACGCGCTAATCAACGCCGTGTACGCCCGTAAGTCTGCCGTCCTCAGTGCCCCCTTCATCTCCCTGAACATTTTCTCCGCCTTGTCGGCCATCTGCGCCCTTCCGTACATGTTAATCAAGGAGATATACGTGCGTTCGACAGGAAAACAACGCCTCTCGATCATCTCTTCAAACACTTCTTCGGCTTTCGAAACAAGGCCTGCTTTTCCAAACATGTCTATGATCGTATTGTACGTCACCAGACCCGGTCTGTAACCCGCGGCCTTCAACCTCGTGAACAACAGCTCTGCCTTTTTTGTCTCGCCCGATTTTCGATAAACGTTCATCATCACATTGTATGTGGTCACGTTGGGCATGCACATGACTTCATCCATTGAACGGAAAACCGCCTCTGCTTCGCCATACTTATTCAGCTTGCAGCATACATCCATCAGAAGATTGAATGTGTCGACATCGGGCTTGAACACAGGGTAGCGCAACATCCAGTAAAATGTCTGCATTGCATAAAAAAAGAGTGAAAAAAAGAAAGGAAAAAAAAAGAGTGAGACAGTTGGTAAAAAAACTATTACGGTTTTACCCCCAAAAAAAAAAAAAAAAAAAAAAAAAAAAGATTAAGATGGCGGAAAATGGATGGGATATGGCCCAGTCAAAGCAAAGAAACTGAGAGCATACTCAACCTAGGACCTTTTTTAACAAAGCTCTGGACGTGATTGCAGTCTGATTAATCCACGTTAATCCACGTCTGGTCGTAATTGCAGTCAGATGCATTTTGGAACGAGCTAGTGTGAGTATGCCCTGAGGAAGACAGACGAGGGTAGCGCAAAATCATTAAATGCCTGCATTGCATAAAAAAGAGTGAAAATAAAAGAAAAACAGTGAGACAGTGGGAAAGAGGTTCAAGAACTTTTATCCCTCCTAAAAAAAAAGGTAAAAAAAAAAGAGAGAGAGAGAGAGAGAGAGAGAGAGAGAGAGAGAGAGATGGTGGAAAATGGATGGCATCCTCGTAATGCATCTGACCCCTCCAAATGGACGAGTACTACGGGCACCTCCTGAGGCCTGGCTTCCACCCTCTACCACACCCTGGACCTCCATGGTTAAAAAAAGAAAAAGAAAAAGAAAAAAGAAAGAAAAAAAAAAAAAAAAAAGAAAAAAACAAAAAAAAAGAATAGAGAAGAGAAAGGTCAAAGGGTTAGCTTTGGGAAGAGAGAAGAGATAGTTATTCGTGCTCAAGCGAGCTAGACGGAGAATTCGGGTTAAACGTACAAAAAAAAAAAAAAAAAAAAAGAAGAAGACAGAAAAAAAAAAGGAAAATGCATGGGAGAATAGGGGGATATCATGGATATGGCCCCAGTCAAAGCAAAGTTAGTTTAAGAAACTGAGAGCATACTGGAACTTGGACTTTGCCTACAAAGCTCTGGATGTGATTGCGGTCAGATGCATCTGCAATGAATTGCAGTGCTACTAGCGGGATGTATACTAATTTTGTCCCTGTCRTCGTTGTCGGGACTCGATCCCGCAACCTTCGTCTGCTGTGTTGCCTGTTTGCTTGCTGTTTGTCTGTTTTGAGCCCTGCGGGACTCGATCCCGTGACCTGTAACCTGTGTGTTTTGTTTGTGAGTGTTGAGCCCTATGGGGCTTGATCCCTGAGTCTGTTACTACCGTCTTCCCCCGAACAGAACGCACCCTGAAAAGGAACGTATACAAGGTATGTTTCCGGCCACATACAGTCAGAATGAGGGTGCATTGTGTTCGGGGGAAGACGGTAGTAGTCTCTGTTTGGTAGTCCTAGGCCAATCGGCCTTTTCCTTCTGCCTTGTCATAGGTCTAGGCCCCCCCTGTTTCCATCTAGATACAGATGAGTCTTGGGTTGTTGCCTTTGGAGTCGGTCGTAGGTCTAGGCAGAGGGTAGAAGTGGCGGGAAGGAAAATTAGCTCGGGTCTTTTCTCGTGGTTTTTGCTCGGGAAACTCTGCCAGTTCGTTGCCGGAGCGCTGCTGCGTTATTTTGGACGACGGCATCTTCTTCCTCGAAGCCCACCCATAGATGGGGCTGGGACATGGAGTTGGAGATCGCACTGCTGCTATTCAGCAGCTCTGCACGAGAGCTTCCACAGGGCTGTGTTGTTGGGTTTGGGCGCTGCCATTCTCCACTCCTCATGAGGAATTTCGTTTTTGTGTTCTTCGAAGTTCTGGATCGGTTGTCTCCTTCTTCATCAGGACTTCCAGCGCTGCACTGCCGTGCAGGCGCTGAGCCGGCGCTGCGATTATTGGGGTTGCTGGTTCAGACTGGCAGGTTGTGACAGCTGTGGGGTTACTGCTGCTACGGCAGCCATAGCCAGGGGGTATGAGGTGGAAAGGAGGAAGACGAAGACTCCTGTAGACTTCGTTGAACACTTGTTTTTGGTTGTTCGGGGTTGTTGTAAACGCGGTTGTGATTTTTGGAACAAGTGCTTTGGATTGATTGGAGGAGGATGGGGGATTACGGAATTGAAATTCGTTTTTCAATTCTCTGTGTATTTTGAGCTTCCGCTGTGCATATCTTCTCTCCGGTTTTGTGTGGATTTGCCTCCTTCGAAGGAGTCTACTCTGCAATTGCATGCGTGTATGGGGACGTGTGAATTCGTTGTGGATGGAAGTTCAATCGGGTACATAACACATCCACGTCTGGTCGTAATTGCAGTCAGATGCATTGTGGAAAGTAGTAGTGTGAGTATGCCCTGAGGAAGGCAGACAAGGCAAAGAGACAGCAGCCATTTGGCAAAAGCAGAAACAGAAAACCCACGACTGTGAAACAGACTGAGAATAGCATTTTTGAAACTACCCATAGCGCTGCCGGTAAATGCTATTGCAAGGATCTGGGTCCTCGGCAGGCCTAAGGGCCCCCTGTTGCATACGTGCCCGCCCTAAGTGAAGGCGGGCCTAACAAATCGCGAGAGGCCCTCGACTGACAATTTCGTATTTGGGGGTCCAGACAGTCGCGACGCGCCAGTTGGTTAAGGGAAATACAGGCCGAGCAACAAAGACATTCCACGGCCTTCTGGGCCTTTCCAAAACTGCAGGCCCTGGGCGAGAATCGCAGCCTCACACACTCACAGTTTGTGAGGCCCAACCAAAAGAGGCCCAGTAGCTGCAACACAAGCGCAGCATCCTGGGGCCTACCGGAAGCTTCTGGGCCCAGGCCAGTCCAGCCAGGCTGCGAAGGCAGGAGGCTCTTTCCATATAGGAAAGAGCTCGCCACCAGCAGCCTCATTCAGGCACTCGCATGCTAGCGGCAGCGCAGCCTCATTCAGGCACTCGCATGCTAGCGGCAGCGCGCTGCTGGAGCGGACGCTCGTGGGCTGCTGCTCGCGCTGAGAGGCGAGGTGCTAGCGCGTGCGGTCGTGCAGGGAGCAGGGCGCTGCTGAGGGCAGCGCCATAGCCCAGCCTCCATAGCTGGTTGGGCTTGGACTACAGTGAGGCGCAGCGGTGGTCTTCGGGTGTACAGAGTGAAGACGTGGAAGTAAGACGGGAGAGAGAGAAGGATGACGATGATGATGATGATGTGAGGGCACATACCTGGTATTGGCGATGGTCTGCATGGGCGACATCTTCAAGTACTTCGGAGGCTGCTGACGCCAACGGTTTCATTGTCAATAAGTCGGCAGAGAGTAGCTGTGTAGGAAGTAGGCTGGGGGCCGAGCGCCAAGACATTGGTTTTCAGTGTTACGAATCTTCATTGGTGTTATATTGGTGCATTCCTGCTTTCTGGACACTGTGATACTATCTGGCCTTCAATGTGATTGTGCAATCTGATTATTGTCATCTCGCTATTGCTCATTTTCCTTGCACTATTCTCAGAAGCTAAATGAAACGGTGAAGCCGGGCAAGGAGAGACCCCCCTCGCCCCCTCGAACGCCCTATGTGTCGTCTGCGAGGAGGGGCACCATGGAAACAATGCTACATTGTCTGTGGACATGCCCAGAGGCAGAGAACCTATGGGACATAGCCAGGACCCACTGGGGGCAGATGTCATCGAAGGCTTTCCCAAAAGAAAGGGCCACCCTGCTACTGGGCTATGGCTATCCAAGGGGCTCGGCTGTCCTTTGAGAAACTGCTCTTCCAGCTCATAAGGCAGTATATATTATGAACAGTCTGGAAAAGGAGCTGTCAGATCACAATGGCAACGAGAGCGATGCACAGGCAGGAAGCCAGAGAGGGAGGCTTTCCTAAACCCTCTGGAAACCGACCTCCAGGCACGATGGAAAAGGGTACAGAGACAGATTAGACAGCGCGGCCGGATCAAGAGCAGGATCCGACAACCCGTTTTGCCCATAAGGTTTTGCAACATTGACAACATGGCAGCCATTCAGGCCTCAGGGATCTCATTTCAGTGGAGACGGGGAGGAGGAAAGGGGCCAATTAAAGGGTCGAAGAGAAGCGGGCACAGACGAGTAATAGTTGGCCTGCTGGCAAAGACCAAGGGCAGAGTCGGTTCTGCTAAGAAAAAAAGGGTTCAGGGTATAAGGAGGAAGGGTGACGCTTAAGAAGACGGGAGGGTCAGGATACGACATAGGGTGGAGGGAGAAGGAAAGATGGGGGGGGGGGGGGGGGGGGGGGGGGAGGGCGGCAGTACTCCATGGGGTGCGCTGAGCCTTTTATTGATGTAGCAGTTTTCTTCAACTTTCTGGTTATGATAGTCCAGTCGGGAATTTTCCCCTTCTTTGCCCTGCCTTCACTTTGTTAGAATCCAAAAGCGAAAGTTCGGCGACTGGAAGGGAACCCTCAGGCAAAGCTCGGGAAAAAGGACAGGACACAGCAAGGGGCAGGGTTTCAGGATTATATGGATTTGGAGGGCAAAATGCAGAAGGGCAAGGGTAATCATCAGGCAGTTTTACGCTTCCTTGGGCGGTAGTAGCATACATAGTTTCCGTCCTTCGTTCCGGTTTGCACTTTAATTGTCCTGTTGTTGATTTCTTTGAAGTTGCAGGCTTTGGGATGCTGGACCCAATTTCCAGCACACACACACACACCAAAAAAAAAAAAAAACACAACCAATGTCAGTACTTCGACCAGTACGAGAAATGACTGTGCGGGGAAAAAAAGAAACTAAAACAAAAAACCTAGGCTACCAGAGTGGCGCGGGACCACTTGCGCGGCCGGGCAAAAGAAGCTGCCCGGTAAACCGTAGGCAGAGAGGGAGAAGAGGACAACAAACGAGGGAGGGGCTGTGACAAACACTGTTTTGTCGGAGTTTCACCGACTGACTCATCAGGAGGCTGAACCCTCAACAGTCTGCAGAATTGCCTAACTGATCATTACACTGTAAGTGATAATCCACCTTAACCCCGGCTGTGGTTAAGCATCAACGACTGCCCGGCGACTGATACCCTGAGGTGGGCACCAACCATATACATATTTTTTATTTTAAATTTGGTTAATAATTTCGTTGTCACCCTGAGGCAAAAGCTGTTCAGTTTATTTTTCTGCACAACATGTTTTTTTTGAATTTTTTTCCG